ACCAGAAAAGATCCTCACCATGACACATTGTAGTCAAACAATCCACAGTAAAACATAAAGATTTTGAAATGTGCACAAGAGAAATGCCAGATTACTTTCAGAGGATCGCCAATTAGACTCACATCTGACTTCTCATCAGAAAACCTACAGGCTAGGGGACAATGGTGAGATGTATTCTAAGTCCTAAGAGAAAAAAACTGTCAATACAGAATACTATACCCTGCAAAGCTCTCATTTAGGAATGAAGGTGAAATAAAGGCCTTCCATAACAAACAGAAATTGAAAGAATTTGTCACTACTCGTTCAGCCTTACAAGAGATGCTTAAGGATGTGCTACACACAGAAACACAGAAACACGGTCATCACTACAAAAGAAGGTGAAGGCCAGCGCCGTAGCTTACTTGGCTAGTCCTCCGCCTGCATTGCTGGCACCCCGGGTTCTAGTCCTGGTTGGGGTGCTGGATTCTGTCCTGTTTGCTCCTCTTCCAGTCCAGCTCTCTGCTGTGGCCCGGGAAGGCAGTGGAGGATGGCCCAAGTGCTTGGGCCCTGCACCTGCATGGGAGACCAGGAGGAAGTACCTGGCTCCTGGCTTTGGATTGGCGCAGTGTGCCGGCCGCAGCAGCCATTTGGGGCGGGGGGTGAACCGACGGAAAAAAGGAAGACCTTTTTCTCTGTCTAACTGTCAGAAAAAAAAAGACGGAAGGAAGGAAGGAGGTGAAGGCAGAAAATCTCCCAGTAAAAGTACAAAGGAAATCCAAAGTAAATAATAGGAATATTTATGGAAAAATGGCATGGCCAAGTTGTTACTTATCAATAGTCACCTTGAATGTAAATGGCCTCAACTTTCCAGTTAAATGATATAGACTGGCTGAATGGATTAAAAAACAAGAGCCATCTATTTGCTCTTTACTAGAAACACATCTCACCAACAAAGATACATGCAGACTGAAAGTCAAAGGATGGAAAAAGAAATTCCATGCTAACAGAAACAAAAAAAGAGCTGGTATAGCCATCCTAACATCATACTTTCACACAATAGAAATAGACTTTAACACAAAAACTGTTAGATGTAATGATTAACGGTTCAATTCAACAGGGAGATGTGACTATAATAAATGTATAAGTACCAATAACAGGGAACCTTGCTATTTAAAAGAAACGTTAATAATCTAAAGAGAGACATAGATTCCTATACAACATTAATGGGGAACTTCATTACCCCACTTTCAGCAATGGACAGATCAACCAGACGGAAAATCAGTAAGGAAACAATAGTTAATTGATGCTATAGTGTGAATGGACCTAACAGATATCTACAGAACTTTTTATCCTACAGTTGCAGAATACACATTCTTCTTACCAGTGCATGGAACTTTCTCTAGGATAAAGCACAGGCTAGGCCATAAAGCAAGTCTCAGAAAATAAAAATAAAAATTGAAATCATACCAATATATCTTCTCTGACCACAATGGAATGAAGCTGGAAATCAACAACTCTAGAATTTCTAGAGTCTCCAACACATGGAGACTGAACAACATGCTCCTGAATGAACAGTGGGTCATAGAAGAAATATAAAGAGAAATAAAAAAGCTGTTGAGGAACAGTTGTTTTCTCATAATATTTGTTGAGCTCTTTACTTAGTATATAGTTAATCTTCTGTATATAAAGTTAATGAAAATAGGTCTTGGTAAAAAATAAGAATGGGAATGGGAGAGGGACGAGGAAGAAGGGTGGGAGTACAGTTGGGAGGGCAGGTATGGTGGGAAGAAATCACTATGTTCTTAAAGTTGCAAATATGAAATGCATGAAGTTTGTATATCTTAAATAAAATGTTTCCTGGGGGGAAAAAAAAAAAACAACAAAAACCAGTTGAGTGACCATAGCTGACTGGTTCTGATTAGTTTAGGGAGTCTGTGGTTGGTTATGTTATAGAGACCGTACTCAGATCTGTCTGATCCTCCTCATCTTTTCAAAGATTTGCATGAAAATATGGCTAGCACTATTATTAAACCTATAGGTGGTATTCACTATAAGTCAAAAATTGCCTGGGGTACAAGAAATACAGAAGTAAAACAAAACAATTTTATACTGAGAGCTAACAAACTAAAGGGCAGAATTAAAAGTTAAAATGACCTCAGCAGGTTCCATTAATGTGATTGAATCAAATAGGGCTAAATGACTAGTCCTGCTTCTGAAGCAAGGATTTGACTTAGCAACAAAAGCTTTTAAAAAGACTTAGAATTTCAGCTGACAATATGCTGACCAATTATCTGTCAAACAATGTGACTGAACTTCAGAAAAAAAGAGGCTAGCATGACTTGAAGTTGTATTAATGGAAGTATAGACTCTAACAGTAATTACCATTTTTCCTCACCTTGAAAACTAATGAGAAATACTATATATGTATATGTAACTACTGTGACTCTCAATGCATGCTTTCCTGTGAGAACGTCAGAACACCTTGGAGTGGGGAAAAGGGAAAGGGTGCATGCTGTGAAGTCCTATCCAACCCTTGGAGATTCTCAGGAGTTGTCCTCCTCCTCCTCCCCCACACTTAGGCAACTACACTCCTTCTGTCCCGGTCCCTCTCAGTCATGATCTAAAACCAGGGAATTAATAATGTACACCTTGAATACAATTTTTTGTTTTGGCCGTAAGACTGATATATTTCTAAGTACACTTGCGTAAATTAGGTGCTCAAGAAAGAACAGATACAAATTGAACTAAATTTTAAGACTAACTGGTTAGCACAAGGACTAGAAAATAAATCCTCTGAGAAAATGATGTTTAAGTTCAGAAAGAACATGTAACTATTTTCAAAAGGCTAAAGAGCTGCCATGTGGAAGATGGCTTGGATTTACACTGTGGCAGAAGATAGGGAGACACATTTCAGTTTAATGTGAGGGAGAATTTTCTAATGGTCATAGTTGTTGGGAAGGGGATTGGGCCATCTCACAGGGAAGTGAGCTGCCCTCCCTTAGAGGTTTTCAACAGCTATGCAAAATACCAAAAGTTTAAGATTTGTTACTAAAGTACTGTACTTGAAGAATGTGTATTTAAATAGAAATAAACTAGAGCACATTCAAAGTCACATCTTATGTCAATCTCATTTGCTCACATTCCAAAATACATTCAGAGCAGAAGTGACAATAGTGAGGTTATACATCGGCAATGTCTTTTGGAAGGTGAATGTTTTGTTGTGAATTCTTGGGCTACAGAGTACTTGTGTTGTAAAAAATCACTTGTAGGGTGCATTTCCATCATATGACTTTTGTTATCTAAGCATACACACATTTATTTTTCCTTCTATGTAAATACTAACAGCACTACATACATTTTTTATAAGTTTAAGGGTTGTCAGGGGACAGATTTTATGATCTTAGGGTAAACCAGTCTTTCTGTCTACATATATGTGTGTGTGTGTGCATTTTTAGGTAAACTATTTTTTAGATTAAATAATTATAAATTTAATATTTTTGGAAAAATGATAAAATATAAAGAACAGAATTTATAGTAGTGTTTCCAGTGTTTTCTCACTGTGACTTGTCTGAGAGTTGGTTTGTGCAGTTATGAAATATTCAATATTTGCTGAATAAATGTATAGCTGAATTACTGTTAATGTTCTGTTACGGTTTCCACACCAGAGGAGAAATTAGGAGATTGTTGGCTGCCCCAATTTGCATATTCATATATAAAGGGAAGAAGAGGTAATCATATCTTCTTTCTTAGGGAGACACAATATAAGAAACATGAATAAACAAAATGAACTAGCTGTGTTATCCTCAATTCCAGATTTATATTTTTTCTCTTTTTCCTTCTGATTTCCCCTGTCTCCTAAAACACAGCTCACAAAATAATACTGTCTTTACAAATGAAGTTGACTGATCGAGAAATGTTAAAATCTCCATTACATTTTTACATTATAAATTATTAGCCAATGAAAAACAACCATCATGTTTAGTTCTTTGCTAAACATAGCTCAAGTCTGTTAAAATTCACAGAGGTTAGAAAGGCATATTATCTGCATAATACAGCATATCCTCTTGGAGAATGTCTAAGTGTTCAAGAAGGGGATCCAACTGGAAAGGAAGTTATTAATATAAAGAGTATTAGAGGATTCTTCTTGAGATCACTGAATAAATATAGACATGTTTATTCAGGTCCTGTCCTAAAAACTCAGTTTTGATCTGTTATTAAGTATCTTCCATGTACCAGGAACTATGTTGGGTGCTAAGGATCCAATGATGAATGAAAGTTGACATAATTTTGCTCTCAGGGAGCTTTCAGTCTGTTGTGGAGAAAAACATTTTAAAGAGTTAGAACACACATTTTGATAAGTTATGTAAGAAAAACTAGAGCACACTATTAAGAGCAATGTGATGAGCAAACAATCAAGTCTGGAGGCTCTTCTGAAGAAGTGAGGTTTGCATAGGGATAAAAAGAATGCATGAATGGAAGAGCACATGCAGACTCTGTTGCTGGGAGGGAAGACGATGCACTGAGGGAAGTAAAAGAAGGCCATCAAGTATAGGCCACAACAAATGGAGGGGAAGAGACAGAGGAAGCAGTTAGCCACATTAGCCAAAACAGGCTCCTACTCTTCAATGGCTTTAATTTTCAATGACAGGCCAGAAACTTGAACTTGTTAGCACTATTCCTGAACTTCTAATTTCTCCATTCAGATTCATTATCTTTTATCGGGAAAACAGTAAGAGTCTCCTAACTGGGTATTCAGATGTAAACCTATCTGCCCTAATCACCAGAAACCAGGATACACCAAGCTCAAACTAGGAACAGAGAATAACTCCATGGCTCTATGAAGATCAATAAATCTGCAACAGTTCAATGCTATGTATTCTCTATTTAATTAGTACTGCTTTTGAGTAATTAAAAAAAAAAAACTCCCCCAATTCTTAGATATCAAATTCTATAAATACTGGAAACCATGTAAGTGAAAAACAAATCACTACAATCATACATTAAAATACATGACAGCATCATTTTAGAAATTGAATAATTTATTATAGTTATGAGTTCATAATGGATTCTTAGGAACTTTAAAAATGAATTAGGAATAACAATTAAGTATAAAATTCCCAAATATTGGAATCTGGAATGTTAACTTCTAGCATTTTCGTAAAAATCTCTTCCTTATGCTCAGTTAGAAAATTATGTTCTTCAAGGGAAAAGAAAGGGAAGTTAAAAAATAAACACGTTGATGAAGGCAACGAGTTCTTCTCAGCTGGCTTTATTCTCCATTGAAGCTCAATAGAGGATTTTATTTTCTTTACTCACAGGAAACTGTCACTGTTCTGTTTTCCAATAAACCTCAAAACAGAATGGAAAAAGCTTATGCAAAATGACACAAGCCTTAACCATTCTCTGCAGGCTTTACCGTTTCAATACACTTCTAGTCCAACAGCTTCCCCAACTCTAAAATTCTGTTAGTGAACTATGAATACTTTTTAAATACTTTCCAGATTCATCATGGAGGCTGCTTTTCTTCTCTGTACTGTAATCACACTGAGCTGCAATTAAAATAAACAGTCAGTAAGTAGTTACTTTTTCTATGGAATTTCTTAGATTAATACAAAGTACAATGCAACACAACCTACCATTATTGAAAATAACCTTTCTGGAAGGGGTCTTGAAACCAGTCATTTTTGTGTTCATTTCTATTTTACTCTTGATAATTTATAAAATGTCTATATTACATTAGAGAAATGCATGTGAAACATGGCATTCTATAGCTTACAGTGATACACTTAGAATTCTAAAACATATTCCACAGATAGATGAAGAACATCTTAATCAGAAAAGTATCTAAAAACAAACTAAGTTTGAGCCAGCACAATGCAGGCTTAGAAATAAGTCATAATAGTACAAATGTGCGTATAATACAAAGGGTCTCCCTCTAGTTACTATCCTTCATTCGGTAGTCTTCTCTCCAATTATAACATCGTTTCTAGTTTTGAACAAGCATATTTATAAAAAAGTTCTGAGAATGTATGTACAAACCACCACACATACTTTTGACCTTATTTTTTCTTTCTTCTAAATGATCTACCTTAGAAATAGTTCCATATTAGAAGTACTTTGCGTCTCTGACAGCTGTAAGTAATCTGCCTGTATGACTACTCCAAAATTTAACTGGTCTACTGGCCTGCTAATTGTGGGTATTTGGGTGGTTTTGCTTCAAATAGTATTTTTACATGTTTGCTTCCTTGCAAAGATTTTTCCAGGCACAAGTATGGATTAAGAGCTATATACATTTATATTTTTTGAGAAATAAAGCTAAACTTTTCTCAAGAGACTGCACCAATGTATACATCTATCAATGATATATAAAAAAGTACCAGCACAATGCATTATTATACTTCATAATCTCACACATGAAAAATTACATGTGATTACAATAAACATTTATATTTGTCTTATGAGTGAGGATCAGCATTTTTTAATGTTTATATGCTGTCATCTCTTTTCGGTAAATGTTCTTTACCTGTTTACTGGTCTGCAGTACTGTGTTTTTTCTTTTAAGATTTATTTACTTATTTGAAAGGCAGAGTTAGAAAGAGAGAGAGAGAGAGAGAGAGAAGAAGAGAGAGATCTTCCATCAGCTGGTTCACTTCCCAGATGGCTGCAACTGCTGGGGCTGGGACAGACTGAAGCCGGGACTCAGGAGCTCCCTGTGGGCCTCCCACGTGGGCGTAGCAGCCCAAGTACTTGAGCCATCCTCCACTGTTTTCTTAAGCACATTAGCAGGGAGCTGGGTCAGAAGTGGAGCAGCTAGGACCTGAACCAGCGCCCGCATGGGCTGCTGGCATTGCAGGAAGCAGTTTTAAGCTCTAAGCCAACTCTGACCTCTACTTCTGGTTTTTTGACTTAGATACTCTATATATATTTAGGATATTAGCTTTTTGTTATAGGTGCTATAAATACTTTATGTTTGTCATTGACTATGATTTTTTTGATACAGCAATTAAGATTTTACATGATCACATTTATTAATTTTTTCATAGTTTCCAGGTTTTGTGTTTTTGCGTAGAAAGGTTTCACTACATTGATTTTAAAAAATGTCATATTATCAAAAGAACAAAGTATGGCATTCAACAGCTTGGAGTGATATACTTGGAATGGATGAAGGATATACAGAAAAAGTTAGTTGGAACATGACTGAGTCAACACAATGCAGGGCTCATGTTGAACCAATAACATGATACTATACTGCATTATGGTAAGAGTGATGTGTTATGAACAATAATAAGCTTTTAACATCTTGCATTTCTTTAAACATTCCTTAGCTGGATATTATTTCTAATAGTATATTCTAATTTTCAGAGGAAAAGGGGAAAATTAGAAATGACTCAGAGAAGGTAAATATAAGGATTTTTAAAAATTAAATATATACTTTATAAAGAAAGTTTACCGGTTGTATTCATTTAACACAGAAAAATTACTAACTCGAAAAAGAAATTCCCTTTTGTGTTTGGAGAGAATGAATGATTACTTTCCATCTCCAAATAAGAACAGAATGGAAGGAAAAAGCTTAAGAGAAAAATCTGCTACAGAAAAAATTGTGAAGTGTATATATTGACAAAACATTAAAAAAAAGCTCACAAAAACAATAATGGAATTTTTTCAATCTGACAGGTAGAGTTACAGAGAGAGGGAGAGACAGAGAGAAAAGTCTTCCATCTGCTGGTTCACTCCCTAAATGGGCACAACAGTCAGAGCTGGGCAGATCTGAAGCCAGAAGCCAGGAACTTCTTCTGGACCTCCAACGTGGGTACAGGGCCCAAGCACTTGGGCCATCTTCCACTGTTTTCCCAGGTCACAATCATAGAGCTGGATCCGAAGGAGAACAGCTGGGACATGAACCTGCGCCCATATGTGGGCACAGCCGGTGGAAGCTTAGCCTACTATGTCAAGGCATTGGGTCAGCTAGAGAATTTAAATAATAGAAGAAACATCAGGACTGGATTGTTTAGGTTTAATTCTGTCAGGTGATAAGTAAACTAGCTGTCAGTTGGACTATAAAATTAAGTTTTTAGAACTGTACCCTTTTTACTATAGAACGAAAGGTAATTGATTTTAAGCTGGCATTTTTTTTTTTACCATAGTCCTTAAAAAAGGAATTATGATATAGAAATTTAATTTCTTGGGGCCGGCGCCATGGCTCACTTAGTTAATCCTCCGCCTGCGGTGCTGGCATCCCATATGGGTGCCCGTTTCTAGTCCCGGTTGCTCCTCTTCCAGTCCAGCTCTCTACTGTGGCCCGGGAGTGCAGTGGAGGATGGCCCAGGTGGGCCCCTGCACCCGCATGGGAGACCAGGAAAACGCACCTGGCTCCTGACTTCAGATTGGTGTAGCTCTGGCCATAGTGGCCATTTGGGGAGTGAACCAATGGAAGGAAGACCTTTCTCTCTGTCTCTCTCTCTCACTGTTTAACTCTATCTGTCAAATAAAAAAAAAATTTAATTTCTTATATATCCATTGAAGTATGTACTTATTACAAAAAAGATTATAATATAGAAATTTTTTATATATCCATCTAAGTATCTATTTGCCATTATTCTGAAGATTTTACATGTTCTTTTCATTCTTCAATATGCATGTGCTGTCCCACATTAATCATGTCAAATGGAAGATTTATAAAACTGAAATTGTCCAAAGTCACATAGCTATTTAATGGTGCTAGACGATTTGTCCAACATCAGAGCACCTACTCTGGAGATACTGTCGAATGCATCTTGACTCCTCTTACCTTATAATCTAAATGAATGCATGAATTCTTGAATGACTAGTTACCCTACAGATTAACCCATAACTTCATAAGAAATTATCTTCTAGAGGAATGGGAAGAGATGGCAAATTCCTGGATTTTTTTAAAAATAATCTATATCTATCATGAACATGTAGTTAGAAAATGTAATAGTAGCTAAGAAAAATATTAATTTTGAATAAAACAGTACATTTAAGATTAAATATAATTAAAATATAGTCACTTGATTTGCTTTTGTTGTCTGCTTGCTCAATCCATCCATCCATCCAACAATCTATTTTTAGCCTATCTTTATAATCCCTGAACTGATTTCATTTTGTTCCTAATAGCAGGGACTACTGTTTCAAATGGCCCATTTCATTTATATGATGTGTACGTGTTATAAGAAATTACTCCTTAGTATTTCATTGATATTCTAAACTTTTTACTATATTTTTCACTGGATAACTTTTATATTTTATTTTAGATTTACTTGGTCATATGCAAAAGTACATTAAATGAAGTTAATCTGTAATCCAAGTAATTTTTCCCAATTTAAAATAGAAAATAAGAACAAAGGCAATGCTGCCTGAAGCATGACATTCAAAACAATATTGTCCACTTTCAAACCTGTCAGTGACTCCATGCCTAGTTTCATACAAAAATATAATTTCAGAGCAGTGTTGTCTAACAGAGCTTCTTGTGATTAATGTTCTATATCTACACTGTCTATTAGGAAAGCCACAGATACATATGCCCATTGAGAACTTGAGATCTAGCTAATGTGTCTGAGTATCTCAATCTTTATTTTAATTTAATTGTAATCAACTTCAATTTAAACAGCTGCCTGTGGCCAACACCTATCCTACTGGGCAGTGCAGTTCCACATGCAAGTGAAAACTGGAGAATACTGATGTCTATTTTTGCTTCTAAAGTTCCCTTTTTCAACCTCAAATATTAAAGGGACTAATTTTAAACAGGTTAATCAAGTAAAAATAAAACGACTAGCTCTCTGGGAACTTCCAAGGAGTATTTTTTTATCTTTGATCCACTCAGACAGTTTATTATCTTGGGAGAATGAGGATGTTGTATACCTGCTGGGAGGCTGAAGCAGCTCTCTCTTCCGCCTGACTTAGGCGCCTTTGAAGTCTGTTGGCTTTTTCTTGATGCTCTAGAATTAATTTTTCATTCTATTAAGGAGAAACACAAAAGAAACAAGTTAGAAGTACATATGTGACATGCAGATGTTTTTTAAATAGTCCATGAAAACTCTGGAAATCATATTACACTTAAAAAACACTAAGATAGTAGTATTTCCAAATTTACATTTTCAAGTTATCAGCTTCAAGTACAAAGTTGGCTTTATATGTTTATAAATTTTTTTTTTTTTTGACAGGCAGAGTTAGACAATGAGAGAGAGAGACAGAGAGAAAGGTCTTCCTTTTTCCGTTGGCTCACTCCCCAAGTGGCTGCTATGGCCGGTGCACTGCGCCAATCTGAAGCCAGGAGCCAGGCGCTTCCTCCTGGTCTCCCATGCGAGTGCAGGGCCTGGGGACCTGGGCCATCCTCCACTGCACTCCCGGACTGGAAGAGAAGCAACCAGGACAGAATCCGGCGCTCCAACCGGGACTAGAACCCGGGGTGCCAGAGCCACAGGTGGAGGATTAGCCTAGTGAGCCGCGGTGCCGGCCAATAAATTGCTTTTTTTCTACATGTCACCAAAGAAAGTAAATTAACATATCCTAAAACAAACAGATTCAGAAATTAGGGAAAAGACTTTAAATTTTTGATCTTTTAACCTTGAGATGCTAGCTTTAGAATCATATGGAGAGTTTTTGACAACAGACTGCTGGGTCCAAGTGCCAGAGCTTCAGTAGGGATGGGATGAACTCTGTTGCTGTATGTTCCCTAAGACATCTGCATACTCCAGATGCTATGAGGTCAACAGAATTATTAGGCCCTGTTATGGTTTGAAGTGTGTCTGCCAACAGATGCTTAAGTCCTAAACCCCGGTAACCTATGAATATGACCTTATTTGGAAATAGTCTTTGCAGATGATTGATCAGGTTAAGATGAGGTCACTTGGGTGGCTATAATCCATGTTATTAATATGCTCATAAAAAGGGGAAATTTAGACACGGAGACTGAAACATACAAAGGGAAGACAATGTGAAAACACAAAGAGAACATCATCTACAAGCCAAGGAGTGCTTGTGGCTAACAGAAGCTAGGGATGGAGCAGACTCTGACAGTCCTCGGAAGCGATCAACGTTGCTCATACCTCCACTCTGGATTTCTAGTCTCCAGAATGGTGAGATAATAACTTTCCAGTATTAAAGTCACCCAGTTAAACTGTACAGACATCATGAATGCAATCTGTCACAATATATGTAGTTACGTTCAAATAATTAATTGATTAAAATGTATTAGCTTTGTCCATATTTATTAAGCTAGTTATTGTGCATCTGAAAAAATATTTTTGTGCAGCTAGAATTGTCTAGTTACACAGTTTTTCTGGCACTTACTCAAATTAAGAGAAAAATATAGGGCTAACCAGGGAAGCTAGAAAAACACACCTTCTATGAAGCACTAAGTAGCTCCCATGTCCTAATATAGTAGTGGTAACAATGACTGTCACGCAGTGGCCGGAGCTGTGGTGTAGTAGGTTAAGCCTCTGGCTGTGGTGCCAGCATCCCATACGGGCACCGGTTTGAGTTTTGGTTGCTCCACTTCTGATCTAGCTCCCCACTGGTGACCTAAGAAAGCAGTGGAGGATAGCCCAAATGCTTGGGAATCTGCACCCATATCGAAGACCAGGAAAAAGCTCCTTGGCTCCTGGTTTTGGATTGGCCCAGTTCCAGTTGTTGTGGCCATTTGGGGAGTAAACCAGCAGATGGAAGACCTCTCTCTCTGTGACTCTTGTCTCTCAAATAAATAAATAAATAAATAAATAATATTTTTTTAAAAAGTGCATGTCATGCCTACTAATATACAAGATTAAAATAACAATGTCTTGTTACAAGAAGCTTATTATATTATTATGCCCAAATTAAATTCTATGAAGTTAACTACAGGGACTGTTCTAATTGACCAAGATATTTAGATATGTAGTTTTAAATTTTATGAGTCACATCATACATTAGAAGTAAGTTGGAGAAAAGGTTCATCATCTGTAATAATCATTTTCATACATATATTATATATAGCGTACAATTTCTAAACTGTAACCATAATGGTTGAGGAATGGTTCAGATTGGGTAAATTATAATATATGCAGTTGTTTCCTTCAACTGATTACTCTTTTTTTTTTCTTAAAGATTGATTTATTTACTTATTTGAAAGGCAGAATACTTAGAGGGAGGGAGAAACAGAGAGAGGCCGCCAACAGCCATGTCTGGGACAGGCAAAGCCAGGAACCAGGCACTCCATCCTGGTCTCCTACATCACATGGGTGGAAGAGGCCCAAGTATTTGGACCATCATCCGCTGCCTTCCCAAGCACATTAGCAGAAGGATGTAACAGAAGCAAAGCAGCTGGAAATCGAACCAAAACCCTGCTGATATGGGATGCTGGTATCCCAAGCTGTGGCTTAACCCACTGTACCACAATGCTCGTCTCCATCCCAGTAGCTTTTGACATTCCAACAAAATTAACATTGCTGTATTGAATATCTTCCTTTAATTTTTTCCTATTTTACATTACTTCCTTAGAAGAGATTTCTTTAAGTGGAAGCTATATCAAAGAGTATTTAAAAAATTAATTAATTAGAGAGAGAGTTCTAGAGAAAGAGTGACAGTGCAAGCTCCCATCTAATGATTCACTCTTCACATGCCCACACAGAGGTTACTGGGCAATGCCAGGAACTGGGAATTCAATCCAGATCTCCCTTGTGGACAGGAATCCAATTACTTGAGCCTTCACCCATTGCCTCCCGGGGTCTGCATTAACAGGAAGCTGGAATCAGGAGCCTGAGCTGAGTACTGAACTCAGGCACTTTGATGTGGGCACTCAAACTGGCGAGGTAACCACCATACCAAACACCTGCCCCTATAGTTTTTTTTTTTTTTTTTTTTTTTTGACAGGCAGAGTGATAGTGAGAGAGAGAGACAGAGAGAATGGTCTTCCTTTTGCTGTTGGTTCACCCTCCAATGGCTGCCACGGCTGGCGCGCTGCGGCCAGCACACTGCGCTGATCCAAAGGAAGGAGCCAGGTGCTTCTCCTGGTCTCCCATGGGGTGCAGGGCCCAAGCACTTGGGCCATCCTCCACTGCCTTCCCAGGCCACAGCAGAGAGCTGGCCTGGAAGAGGGGCAACCGGGACAGAATCCAGCGCCCCGACCGGGACTAGAACCCGGTGTGCCGGCGCCACTAGGTGGAGGATTAGCCTATTGAGCCGCGGCGCCGGCCCCTATAGTGTTTTAATAGCTATTCTTTAATTTCTTTATAAATGTCTTATAGCAATATAAAGTGCCATGATGGGACTATTGCTGTGGCATAGTGGATTAAGCTGCTGCTTGCAGTGCCAGCATCACATCTGGGCACCAGTTTGAGTCCTGGATGCTCTACTTCTGATCCAGCTCCCTATTAATGCACCTGGGAAAGCAGGGGAGAATGGCCCAAGAGTTTGGGCCCCTGCACCCATGTGGGAGACCCAGAGAAGTTCCTGACTCCTGGCTTCGGTCTGGCCCAGCTCTGGCCATTGAGGTTATTTGGGGAGTGAACCAGCAGATGGAAGATCTCTCTCTGTGTCTCTCTCTCTGTAGCTCTGTCTTTCCAAAAAAAAAAAAAAAAAAAAAAAAAAAAAAAAGTGCAACGATGCCAAAGAGTAATTTTTTTTTTCTTCAGGGAGGTGAAAAGGGGACATGTTGTTTAATGCATATAGAGTTTCAAATTTTGCAAAACGGCAAAGTTCTGAAGATCCATTGCATAACAATGTGAATATACTTTACATTATTTTTTAACATCTAAAAATATAAATTTCCCAAGTACAACTTTTGAATTATGGTGGCTTCCCCCCCATAACCTCCCTCCTACCAGCAACCATCCCATCTCCCAATCCCTCTCCCATCCCATTCTTCATCACGATTCATTTTCAATTATCTTTGTATACAGAAGATCAACTTAGTATATACTAAGTGAAGATTTCAACAGACTGCACCCACAAAGACACACAAAGTATAGAGCACTGTTTGAGTAGTAGTTTTACCGTTAATTCACATAGTACAACACATTAAGAACAGGGGTTCTACATGGGGAATAAGTGCACAGTGACTCCTGTTGTTGATTAAACAAATGACACTCTTATTTAACTATGGTTCCTTTAGTAGACCAGAAAAAGAGAGAGAGGCCCATTGTATACTGTACTAATGAAGTTCCAACAAATTAGAACATCAAATGATGAATTAGAGCTCTAGGGAGTCGCAATCATAATCTAGTAATTGTTTACTTTCTTAAAGCCTCAAATAAAAAAATGATAAACTCTTGCTATATTTAGTTCTAAGGCATCAATCAAAATGAATTTTAATGTATCCCAGTGGGCAAAAGTATGTTTTTTAATTTATTTACTCCCCCAAATAAACTTTTTTTTAAGGAATACAGACTTCATACATTTCATAAGTACAACTTTAAGAATACAGTGATTCTTCCCACCGTACATGCCCTCCCACTTACTCTCCCACCCCTCCTCCTCCTTCCTCTGCCTTTCCCAGTCCCATTCTCCACTAAGATCCATTTTCGATTAACTTTATGCACCAACTCTATACTAAGTAAAGAGTTCAACAATTTGCACGGGAAAAAATTAAAACAAAAAAACTGTTCCTCAACAGTCGAGACAGGGCTGTTCAAAGTCATTACCTCTTGAAGTTAATTTCATTTCTTTTTTTTTTTCTTTCAGAAACTTAATTAACTTTGAGGAAGCACCCAAGAATGATACATCTTTTGTGAGCACTTAGACATAACCGTCATACAACTCTTTGAGGACAGAGGTCCTGCATGGGAAGTTAGTGCACAGTGACTCCTGTTGTTAATTTAACAATTAATACTCTAATGTATGACACGAGCTGTCTAGGTTATGAAAGCCTTTTGAATCCATAAATTCCGTCAGCATTTAGACAAGGCCACAGGCAAAGTGGAAGTTCTCTCCTCCCTTCAGAGAAAAGTACCGCCTTCTTTTATGGCCACTTCTTTCCACTGGGGGTCTCACCCACCAAGGTCCTTCATGTAGGACATTTTGGCAAAAGTATTCTTTACACGTATTTTGTGATGGATTAAAAAAATGAGAAGAGTGCATTAAAAAACACAATCTTAGTGATGCAGAGTCATACAGAGGGTTCTAACACAGTCTCTGAGCTGTGCACAAGTTATACTGGTAGAACTGAAGTAGGAGCTCCACTTTTTATTCATTTACATGATGAATCAACAATGTTCAAAGCTTTTACTCACATTCTGTTATGTGTGGACTTTTAGGGTTACAGGTGATTTCTTATTGGCTATTTCCAATGGAGAATTAATTTGAATTTGGCTCAGGTAAAATTCTCTACAATGACTAACAAGTTATAGCAGAAAGTACTTCCTGGGGGAATCATCATCGTACCTCAACTACCTTTTCATTTGCCATTTCCAGCTGAGAAAGCAGCTCTTGGGTGTGAAGTTTCTGTCGACTCAGTTCACTCCTGTTAATGGAGAGAAGGAAAAAAAATTATTAATATAATTGTTTAAAATCTAAAAAGAATCTTTATTGGTGAGATATAAGTTCATAGTTTGAACAAAAATACTATCTTAATATGAAAAAGAATCATTTAATAAGACATCATTTTTAATAAAATATATACAGTACTTCAATGTCATTCCAATGTAGTATATTCAAGACTGATATTAATGTCTTGTTTGTATATGTAATATATTTTGCTTCATTTTGCTGAAATTATCTGATACACAGAACTATCTTATTCTTTCATTTTCTTGTTAACATAAGAGGGATCCTCATAAAGTTCATGGAAATTGTGTATTATGAAAAATTCTGCAAGGGCTTCAAAATTTTTCTTCCATGAAAATAAGCATCTTTTAACCTATTTTTCCACAAACTTTTAAAAATTTCTTCATATAAACCTATATCACTTTTGGCCAAAGATCATTTTAAGAGTGCCAGGTTAAGAGTAGATACAATGCAATCTCAAAAATGACAGGAATAAAGATTGCATCAGTTTCTGAGTATTTAAATAGTTAATGCAATATTGGCCTTTGTCCTTTCGTTTTTAAAAATTTGTGCTTCTTAAATCAGACAACAAATTAACAGTTATAAATAACCTCTGAGGAAGAGAGACTGCTGGTACTAAATCAATGGCTTCACCAATATGATTTCACCATGAGGAATCTGAGCATCTAGCATTACTTCCATGACAGATGAATTCAAGTATTTTATCTTGGCCTTATTTTGATGGTAACAATATTACAGAATTAATTATTGTGCTTACTTTACAGTATCATGTATGGTTTAAAATTAATTTCCCAGCAAAGAAAAAAAAAAACAGAAAAACCAAAATGACTACAGTGGCTGGTCTTCTAGGCCAAATGTAACGGAAGATAACACTTATGCATATTAGTATTAGTGAAAAATACCCCATGAGCACAACTGAGGCTCAGATGAATCAATGATCCTATTTTCAAAGTTGGCCAACATTCACTTACACAAAACCTTTCTAGGAAAATACCTACTGTATAATCTGATGCCTAAATTATTCAATAACTTAACTGAAACAATTATAGTAATAATGTTACACAAAATCAAAGATCATAAAGATACAAGTCATTAAATGAAACTGAGTTACTTTGTGTACTTTTTTTTTTTTGTATATCAAACTATGTTACCCTCCTTGGACAAGCCAGCACCTCTGTTACTCATCACCTCTGTTATTCATCTGTGTATCCATATAATCTACTATTCAGCAAGAGTTTGGCAAATAATAGTGAAGTTGATGATAATGGTGATAAGGAGACACCTACATAGTGCTAGCTATGTGCCAGGCCCTATTCTAGGTGCTTTTATAAGTTAACTTATTTACTTTTCATGACAACCCTATGACATCCTTACTTTTACATTTGAGAAAATTAAAAGACAGAGACAGTTAAAAATAAAGTTAAGTAACTTCCTGGGTCACAAACCTTGTCAGCTATAGAGCTGGGATTCAAATCCTTGATCTTTTGTTCAAAAAGTCTGTGATTTTTTTTAAAAATTTATTTTATTTATTTGAAAGGCAGAGTTAGAGAGAAAGAGAGAGAGAGAGAGAAATCTTCCATCTGCTGGTTCGCTCCCCAGATGACTATAAACGCCAGTGCTGGGCCAGACAGAAGCCAGGAGCTAGGAGCTTCTTCAGGATCTCCCACATGCGTGCGGGGGCCCAGGGATTTGGGTCATCTTCCACTGCTTTCCCAGGTGCATTAGCACAGAGCTACTGTGCAGCGATAGGAACTTAAACTGGTGCCCATATGGGATGCCAGCACTGCAGTCTTCCCCACTATGCTACAACACTGGCCCTAAGTCTGTTCTATTAACCACTGCTCTGTACTACAATGTTTATTCAGAAAGTAAGTGAAAGTTTGTGTTTGGGTGTGTGTGTGTGTATGTATGTGGACACAAGCATGAGTGCATGTATTAGGCATTCTAAGAGTATATTTACACATTTGGAAAATTTAACAAGTTAAATCTTTACTTCTGACTTCTCTTCTGAAAGTCTAGCTTATATTCAAATTTAATCTTCTTAATATTAAACTTTTTGCATTGGTTCATAAACCTATTCTCATTCTGCTACTCAATTTTTTTTTTTTTTTGACAGGCAGAGTGGACAGTGAGAGAGAGAGACAGAGAGAAAGGTCTTCCTTTGCCGTTGGTTCACCCTCCAATGGCCGCCGTGGCTGGCGCGCTGCGGCCTCTGCTACTCAATTTTTATATTTATATCTCTGCCCTTGTTGTCTAGGTTAAAAGTCTTAAATTAACTCCTATTTCACACTTTGTGTTCTTAAATGCAACATCTTCTTGGCCCCTAAATAAAGTCTTCCTTTGAAATTTTCTCTTGCATCTATTTTTCATTCCTATTCAATGCTACCATTACAACTTAAATTCCTAGGATTTAATTCTTAGATTTCCTGTAGTAACCAACTACTCAGGCTTCTCAGGATCAAGTGAAAAAATACTTGTAAAGCACCCAGCACAGTGCACATAAAATCACTCAATCACTGTTTTCCCTTTGCAACCCATGTATCATTAGCATGTTTCTCTTTCAAAAATATCATGTTAACAATTTACTTCCTTGAGCGATAATCTCCAGTGCCTCTCTGGTATTGGACAAAACACTCCACATTTCTGAGATTGGTATTCAAAATCCTCTAGAATTTGGTCTAATTTTGCTTTCCAGCCTTACTGCTAATAGGAACCTTCAACTTCGTTACACTTCCACTATCTGGAAAACAAACAATAAGCATCACCTTTAGAGGTCGGAACCAAGACGGCAGCTGAATAAGACACTTTGGTGACTATCTCCCCACAAACACACCAATTTGAACAGGTATTCATGCACCAAGTTACCTTCAGAAGAGCTACAGAAGCCAGGAAAGAGACGACATGGCCTTATTTTGATAGAATAATAAGAAAAGTTGCAATGAGGGAAGCAGGAAGGAGAGAGTTGCCTGTGTCACTGTGGCGAGGACAGGAGAGGGACTTAGGACCCAGCCTAGGAGCTCAGAGCCCACCTCAACCACTGTGAGACTCTAAAGCCCAAAGGATTCCATTCTTGGGCTGGTGCCCATGGAGGAGCCTGCAGACTTGGCGGCATCAGTGTTTCAGACTTGTGTTCCAATGAGATGGTTCCATTTTGGTGTGTGTCAGTGCTGGCCTCTGGTGTGTACCCCTGGGACTTTGTGGAGACTGGTGACAGGGGACACACAGGTGACCCATTTGTGCCTGTCTGAGTGGCCAGAGGCTGCTTTCTTTACCCTCCTTCAGCCTTAGGCAAACAAGGAAGGAGGGGACTATGTTTTTTAAGATTTTATTTATTTATCTGGGAGCAGAGCTACAGAGAGGAGAGACAGAGATGAAAGTTTGATCTGCTGGTTCACTCCCCAAAATGGCCACAATAGCTGGAGCTAGGCCTATCTGAAGCCAGGAACCAGGAGATTCTCCTGGGTCTCCCACGTGGATGCAGGGGCCCAAACGCTTGGTCCATCTTCCACTGCTTTCCTAGGTCACAGCAGAGAGCTGGATCAGAAGTAGAGCAGCTGAGACTCGAACCGAAGTCCACATGGGATGCGGACGCCGCAGTGGAGGCCCTCGGACTCAGTACTGAGCTAGGAAAGCCTAACTCTGGACAGATATTAAAGGTTTCTGTCCCTAGAGAGGTGACCAGGGACAGTCTTTGGACTTGCCCTGGTATCAGGTGGAGACCTGTGCCCTGTGGGATGCATTTGTTCTGGTGTATATCATTACCAACCTCACGTGGGCCTGGTAGGCATCCCCAAGACTGCACAAGGCTAATGACTATGAGACCCAGGTGTGACCCACCTAGTGCCTTCCTGCACGGCTGAGGGGCTGCCGCTATTACCCTTTCTGCAACTGTGGACTGACAGCAAGGAACCACAGGACTGTTACGGGACTCTGTGCCGGGCTAGTAAAATCCAGCATTAAATAGATCCTAATGTTCTCTGTCCCCAGGCCACTGACTGCAGACAAAGCCTTTGGACCTGTTTTGTGCCAAGTGGAGTTCCATGGTATCAGTTATCAGTCTTATACTCTATACCCAATGGCTGGTAGAAATTGCAATGGGCAGTGAGTTCAACTCAGCAGCAGGCCATAGCAGGGTGGGCTTTGGTCCTATCCTGAGGCTGCACTGGTCTCAGTGGGCTGTTGGCTCTGGGTGTGATCTAGATCATGACATTAGTGGATGCAGGACAATGAGTTTGAGCCTATTGGAGGCCTAGGAAGAGTTATAGGGACAGACTAACCTTTTTTTTTTTTTTTTTTTTTTTTTACAGGCAGAGTGGATCGTGAGAGAGAGACAGAGAGAAAGGTCTTCCTTTGCCGTTGGTTCACCCTCCAATGGCTGCCGCGGCCGGCGCACCGCGCTGATCCGATGGCAGGAGCCAGGTACTTGCCTGGTCTCCCATGGGGTGCAGGGCCCAAGCACTTGGGCCATCCTCCACTGCACTCCCGGGCCATAGCAGAGAGCTGGCCTGGAAGAGGGGCAACCGGGACAGAATCCGGCCCCCTGACCGGGACTAGAACCCGGTGTGCCGGCGCCGCAAGGCGGAAGATTAGCCTAGTGAGCCGCGGTGCCGGCCCAGACTAACCTTTTTTAGGCATTTCCCCAGTTCATTCCAAACAACATGTCAACTGCAGATATGGGGCAAATCTGAACTTCCAGAATATTGTAGGACTGAATCAGTTAAAAAAAATACAGTGCAAGTGGGACAAACCTTTGACATACAGTGCTATACAGTACTGAAATAGCAGAAGTAGTCACAGGCTCAAAGAAAATAAACACCTGCTTAGAATGGCTAGAAGGACATACACAAATGAAGACAGATTACTGTAACTAATTCTTTAGTGCCAAGAACTTCCACAGAACCATCACCTCACATAAAAAGCAAAATAAGTTACCAGGAAACAACTATCTAGGAACTG